CCTCTCTCTGCAGGGAGAGCTTCAGATTCATCTTCACAGTTAAGACAAATGACTTTCTCTGCAAGAGTCCAGGTTTCCTGCACTGTCTCAGCTCTGCGTTTAATTCACTGCATGTGTGTGGAGAACACGCAGGTGCCTGAGCCTATCCCAGGGCCCGTGGAATGGAGGAAACAGAACAAGAAAAAGACCTGGTCCCTGCCCTGGGGTTGCTTATGATCTGGTCGGATTGACAAATAGCTATCTTTCCCAGCTGTTCCTGATTTGGCTCGAGCCCCGGGGCTCCTGAAGGGCATTTTGCAGCGGTGAAGCCCAGGGGTTGCCCAGCTGAGAACCACATTTCCTTTCTTTGGCAGGAGCCAGCAGCGTCCACATGGGAGCTCACATCTCAATGAAAGCAAGAAATCTGATGCTTCACTGACAACTCATTTTCTCAACCTTCATTCTGGGCGAAGGCGACTTCGCGTTCCAGCTGCCATATTGTAGCTGCAACCCCTGATGCACCATCAATTAAAAACAGCAATAATTATGCATGGGAAAAAAGGCACAGATAATAGGCTTCCATTAGATTAAGTAGTTATATGAATAAAAAAAATAAAACCTATACTTTGGCTAATTAAACCCACTCACCATCTGATTAAGATGTGTTGTGAGACCATGGAAAAGTACCAACCACTAACTGTAAGTAATCCGGCACAGATGGGAATTAATAGTATATTCCCTGGCTTAGAGATAATGGATCTCCATAGAGGTTGATCGGAATCGTTAATAAGCATGGACAGGATGGACAGTCCCAAACAGCTGGTGCCTGATGCTGGGGTCGGGGCAGGCCGTGCTCCCAATAAAAATGGCTTCTCAATTCCACTCCACCTGCTGAGAGGAGGGATAGATGTGCTGCCCTCCTGAGATGCCATCAGCGTTGAGGTTGTGCTGGAGCTCTAGACCTGCTGCCTGGGCTCCAGTGAGCTGAGGAGGAATTGCAACCCAAGCAAAGGGTGTGAAGTTAGGCCCCGCTGCTCGGCTTTGCAGGGATCTCTGTGATTCGAGGGTAACTGGGAACCTCAGCCCCAGTGCTCCGGGAAGGCAGGGTATGCTCATTGCTGACAGTGGCACTCTCTTAGGGGCAAGACTTGGGCTACCATGGGAACCAGGCCTCTTGCAGGCCTGGATGACATAGCCCATGGCCGCTGTTTTGGGGGCTGAGAATCCAGGGCAAACCTCAAATACTGTCTGGAGGAAGCAGCACGGGGAGTGAGGCAGGGACGCACGGGCCAGGAGCTGCCTGGCCAGAGCTCCCCCAGACAGAGTGTGTCCAATACCCATTTAGCAGCTACTCTCTGGCCTCCAGCCTCTGTCCTTTAGAGCAGCTGTGAGGAGAGCTCCGGGCCCTGCCTTCTAATTACCACTAATTAGGTAAATGCTGAGATGCCTGGCTCTCCCTCCCCCCACGAAGGCAACAGAGAGATACACAGAGAGGTCAAAAAGCGCCTTTTCCAAATGGAGACAGCTCGGATGACACGGCCTGAATACCAAGCAGCCGCTGCCCAAGGGAAGGAGAGAGGGGCGAGGGCAGCGAGAGTGTGGCCAGCCTTTAGGGAGGCATCGGAGAGGAGAGGGAGGAAGCCGGACACAGGCGAGGGGCTGTGGTTTGAGCTCCCGCACTTTCCCAGCCTGGGCTGCCGGCTCCTCCCCTCGGAGCAGCAGAGCTGTCTGGTTGAGGGTCTGCTCCTTCCAGAGTCCTTGTCTCTGCACCCTTGAATTCCTGGGTCTTGCACGTCTATGGGTTTGGCTCTTCGCCGGCTAGTCTGGACTGGAGGGAGGGGCGAGGCCTGCTCAGGCTCTGGGTAGGGTCAAGGGCACCGTGGACACCATTGGAGAGCCCCGGGGCAGGAACACTAGCACAGGCACACCTCAGAGAGAGTGCAGGTGGATTCCACACCACGGACATAAAGCAAATACTGTGATAAAGCGAGCCACACAGCCACACACTTTTTTTTATTTCACAGTGGATATAAAAGTTATATTTACGCTATACTGCAGTGTAGTGTAATATGCATAGCATTATGTGTAAAAAATAGCATGATGTCTAAAAAAAATACACATCTTAATTAAAAATACTTTATTGGTAAGAAACGCTGACACAGAGACATGCAGGGAGCACACGCTGTTGGTGCCGATAGACTTGCTGGACTCAGGGTCGCCACAAACCCCAGCTTGTAAAAAACGCCATGTCACGCCTGTAATCCCAGCACTCTGGGAGGCTGAGGCAGGCAGATTGCTCAAGGTCAGGAGTTCGAAACCAGCCTGAGCAAGAGCAAGACCCCATCTCTACTATAAATAGAAAGAAATTAATCGGCCAACTAATATATATATAGAAAAAATTAGCCGGGCATGGTGGCGCATGCCTGTAGTCCCAGCTACTCGGGAGGCTGAGGCAGTAGGATCGCTTGAGCCCAGGAGTTTGAGGTTGCTGTGAGCTAGGCTGACGCCACGGCACTCACTCTAGCCTGGGCAACAAAGGGAGACTCTGTCTCAAAACAAAAAAAACAAAACAAAAACAAAACAAAAACGCCATGTCTGAGAAGCGCACTAAAGCAAGTGCAACAGAAAGAGGTTTGCCTGTAGTCTTTTCCCTCTTTCCCTCAGGCTGTGTGTGGGAGCCAGTGCCTAGCCCTGAAACAGGCACAGAAGCTGATGGATTTTAGGTTTGAGGTAATAAATTGGCTTCGAAAGGTTTTTTTGGTTTGTTTGTCTTTATTTTTACTTTTAATCACTCCCTTATCTTCCCTGTAGTCTTATAAAGCTGGAGGTGAAAAGGGAACGGGTGTCCCATTTTACAGATGGAAAAACTGAGGCCAAGAGTGGGGGCGTCTGGGTTCATTTTGAGTGGGGGTGTCTGGGTTCATTTTGAGTGGGTGTGTCTGGGTTCATTTTGACTTCAGAGTCAAGACAAAACCCAAAGTGTCTGAATTTCTAGGCAATCTAACAAGTCATAATGTTCGGAAAAATACTGCTTTGGTTTTAAGTTACGAGAGGAAAACATGTTTGGTCTAAAAAAAAAATGTTCTCTGATAGTATAGAAGAGTTTAAAATAAAAGTCAAAGTTCCCAAGCCCACTCTTTTGTCTCCTAGGTCTCACTAGTCATCCTTTGAGAAATTTTCCATGTTTGCACAAGCACGCATGTTTATCTATATATATTTTCCTCAAATCAAAAACAACTATTTATATAATGCTGTATTAATACTTTATTTTTTCATTTGTCTATTATACTTTTATTATTCTTTACCATTTATAATTCTCACATTAACCCATCAAAGTAAGTGGGATGGGCATCATATCCCAGTTTTCAGGCACGGAAACAGACTCAGAGAGGTGAAGTCCTTTGCCTGCTGTTATGTAGCTGTTTACTGCTGGAGTCAGAACTCAAACGTGGTTTTCTGGGTTCCAGTCCAGGGCTCTTACCACAATAACAACCACGACAAACACAAATACAGGACTTCACAATGATGACAGGAAATGCTCGCATGGCACTGGCCGAGTGCCAGGGACTCCTCCCGTGCTCTGTACCTATTTCCTGCTTGAGTCCCCACTGCAACTCTATGAGATGAGCACTGTTATTATCCTCTTTAGTTCCCAGGCAAGGAAACCCAGGCACAGAGCGGTTCAATAACTTGCCCAGGGTCACGCTGCTGGGAGTGAGAAATGCTAGGGTTCAAATCCGAGTTTGCGTCCAGAGTCTTCGTTCTTCACTTCCATACCTCGCTGTCACTTACTCTGGTTCAGGTACTCTAAAACACTATCCACATATGTTCACCTCCTTTGATCCTCATGCCAACCCCGTAACGAGTGCTAATAACAACACTGGACCACGGGGCAACTTCGCCAAGGTCCCAAGCTCAGAAATGGGGCATCTCCCAACAGCACTGGCAGACTTCCAGGCCACATGACCTACCTGGATACCGTACAAATCTAGCAGTGGCCCAAAAGGACCACCTAGGCAAATCTTACTTAACACTAACAATAACAACACTAGTAATAATGACACTAATGATGAGAACACTAATAGTAATACCAGCTATCACTGACTGAGCGCTTACACCCCAGGTGTGTGCTAAAGGCTTTACACACAACTCTTTATTTCACCTTTCTAACAAGCCTATGATGAAAGGATTGTCATATAATACAGATGGAGACCTTAAGGCTCAGAGAGGTTAAATGTCATTCTCCAGGTCACACAGATTTTTTTTTCAGAAGCATTATTTATTATTTATTATGACCCTAAGATGTAAACAATGTAAAAGTCCATAAACAGAAGGGATAAATTGTAATATAATCATATAATGGAATTCTATATAGAATAAAAATAAACTTTTGCCGCATGCACTATTAGTGATTAGAAACATAATGATGAATGAAATAAGCCATATATAAAAGAATAAACAATATATAATCCAATTTATATAAAGGTTTATAGTATGTAAAAACTAATTTGTAATGTTAGAAGTCAGAACTGTGGTTAACTTTGAAGAGATAACAACTAATTTTTATTTCATATTTGCAATGAGAAATAGAGTTCACATCTCCTTTTTATTCCTCTGCTTTGTCCATGTTGAGAACATACCTCCTTTCTTTTATAGAACTTCTACTCACAGTGTTGCCCATGGACCACTGCCAGCTGGCCAACTGCTTATTACTGGTTCACAAAAAGATATCTTTAAATTGAAAATAAACAGGTTCAAATGTTTATAACAATTGACAGAAGAAGTTTTCATCTGCTGAATCTAATAAAAAATTTGGGCTTTTATTTCAATGATTTTTTGGTCAATTTATCTAGTAATATTTGATATGTGTGTATCTTATAGGCTAGCTGCTAGTCTAGCCAATATTAGATTAATATGTGGTACAATACCTTAAACCGTTGGATATTATTACACTTGCAAGCAACATATCATGTACAGGATTTACTATGACTTAAAAGTTTTTTACAAAAAAGTCCCATTACTTACTGAATTCCAATGGTTTGTACCTTGTGAGTTTTCTGATGGACAATGAAATTTGACTTATAACTGAAGAACTTCCCACATTCTTTACATTCATGTGGTTTCTCTCCTGTGTGAGTTTTCTGATGGCGAATAAGGTTTGATTTTCGACTAAAAGCCTTTCCACACTGAGGACATCCACTGGATTTCTCGCCTGTATGTATTCTGTGATGAACAGTGAGGATTGCCTTCTGGTGGAAGGACTTCCCACATTCATTACAAATATAGGGTTTTTCCCCTGTATGAATTCTCTGATGAAGAGTGATATAATTCTCTGTATGAATTCTCTGTCTTTTGGCAGAAGGACTTCCCACATTCATTACAAATATAGGGTTTTTCCTCTGTATGAATTCTCTGATGAAGAGTGATATAATTCTCTGTCTTTTGGCAGAAGGACTTCCCACATTCATTACAAAGATAGGGTTTCTCTCTTGTGTGAGTTCTCTGATGGACAGTGAGAGTTGTCTTCTCAATAAATGCTTTTCCACACTCATTACACTGATATGGTTTCTCTCCTGTGTGAGTTCTCTGCTGATCAATGAGGTACGACTTCTTTCTAAAGGCACTTCCACATTGAGTACATTCATAGGCTTTCTCTCCTATATGTGTTTTGTGATGCCTAGTGAGGGTTGCCTTCTGGTGGAAGGACTTCCCACAATCAATACAAATATACGGTTTCCCCTCTATATGTGTTTTTTTCATGAAGAGTGAGGGCTGTCTTCTGACAGAAGGCCTTTCCACATTGATTACAAACATACGGTTTCTCACCTGTGTGAATTCGCTGATGTTCAATAAGGTATGACTTCCTTCTAACGCCATTCCCACAGTAAGGACATTGAAAGGCTTTCTCTTCTGTTTGAGATCTCTGATGCATGATACAAACAGACTTCCTACAGAGGAATTTCCCATATTCGTTGTAGGCAGAGGGCTTCTTTTCCATAAGACTGTGTGGATGTTGAGATTTGACTTTTCTATGAAGGCAATTCCATCTTTACTGTATTCAAAAGTTCTTTCTCCTCTATGAGCTCTAGTTTGTGTAGATAACATTCCTTTCATAAGGGAGGATTTTTCACATTCATTATGCTCAAATGATTGTTCTGGAGTTTCAACCTTCTGGTGTTGAATAAGTTCCTGTTTGCCACTGAGATCTTTTTCTGTTTGTTTATGGAGATTCACTATAGGATAAATTTTCTCATGCTTAGGATTGAGGAGTGATTTCTCCCATCCATTACTCTCTCCAAACTTCTCATTTAAGGGGCTTATATTTCTTATGACTAATTCTGAAATATTTTGCAAAATCTTTCCATCAGGTTTATATTCACACAGTATTGTTTTTGAAATAATATGGTTCTTGCCTAGAGTAAGTCTTTTACCATAAATAATACTTTTCTCCTTAATTAGTTTTTTGTTGATGAAGACAACTGATCTAGAATGTCCATCCTGGTATTCTTTGAACTTCACTAAAACATCTTCAGCTTTTCCATCTTGGTGTCAGAAGTTTTGTGTAGACTACGTGATCCTCAAGCTTCATAAGTTGACGAACTTTGCAAGTATTTATAGAAAACATATGGTATGTCATATAATGAAAGGTCCAGCTAGGTAGCGCTGACTTGGAAAAATTCCCAGTGTCCATAGCTCTTCTCCTTGTTCCAACTTGTGGATCATATCCGGCTTAGACATATGAAACCCCACAGAGATGAAGTGGCAATAGTTTTCCAACATCACATCCCTATACAGGGCCTTCTGAGCAGGGTCCAGATGCTGCCGCTCATCCTGGGTGAAGTCCACGGTCACATCCTTGAATGACACTGATCCCTGTAAGGGCATACTCTAGTTCATCCTGAGACATAGCTTTGAGATTTGTAAGAGATAAACCTTCTCTTTTGAGCTTTTCTTTTGGAAAAAAGAAGAGCCCAGGCCCAGCTCAGACTCCCAGTTTGCTCCCTGGCCTCCCCACATGGTTCTGCTTCCTTAGTCTGCTCTTTCAGGAGCGGATCTCCCAGACCCCTCCTCGGCCTCCTCAGAGCCCCCGAGACCAGTCACACAGCTTTTAAGTGGAAGAGCCAAGATTGGACCCAGGTCTATCTCATCCTGAAGGCTGACGCTGTTTCTACTCACCCACCCATTATCTTGTTTTCCAGACTGCTTGGGGCATCAGTATCTTCTTTCTTTTCCATTCTGAGGCTTGGGACCACTTCAGCTGCCTGCCTGAGAGGGAATGGTCAGTCTATGGCCATAGCCTCTTCTATTTCGGAAGCATAATGGTTTCTGCTGTCATGGATTCAATCTGCTCCCTGCTCTACTGTAAAAGCACCTTCTACACTAATTGCATTTATAGGCTGGCTGGGCTGGAGATACGGCCAGGGTTTGAGCATCTCACTCTCCCTTTGAACTCCTACAGCATTTGGGATGCATCCCTTGACGCTTTGAGTCTGCCCTGTATTACAGTTAGTTGGGTCCTTGTCAACTGTCCTACAAGGCTATAGAGACCACTGAAAACCCCAAAACACATAGTCCAGAGCTTGCAAATAATAGCTGCTCAATCATTGAGCCCTCTAGTACCACGTTGACTTGAGATTTTAGAGTCACACTTTCCTGGCAGGAGCTCCACGTGTGAAACATTCTTCGCAATCAGCCAGCATTTGAGGTTCTGTCCCCAAACATCCTTCCTCCTATGGCTTGCACTGGGGAAGAGAGACTGACTCTGTGCACGCCCTCTCTCCCCGGTGCTGCTGCAGAGGAGGCGTGCCCGGTACCAACCAGCACCTCTCCATCCACTGCAGGGTTGCAGAGGATGAACATGAGGCAGTCCTGGTGAGAGTTTAACGTTCAGGCCAAGGAAGCTGCTGTGGCTTCTGTTTTCCAGTGTTCTCAGGGGCCACAGTGCATGAGGCATACAAAGCAAGACAGCCCAGAAATGCAAAGCCTGCAAGTTGATGAACGGCTGTACTTTGATGCAAGTCAAGGAACAAAACTATGTGCGTGTGTATAGAGCTCTCAAATGCTGTTGTGAGACAGAGGCCAGATGCAACTTTTCACTGGTTATACTGGAGAAGGAGAGGGCTGGTGTGGAGTTTAATCCCACTTGCGTGCTTATGGCCATGGGATGACTTGCGTCCTCATGCCCTGTGGTTGTGGGGGAGGAGCAGACTGCTGCACTACCATAGAGGGCTCTCAGGTAACACCCGAAGCCTCCCTATTGTGCTGTCCCCTCCAGAGAGCCTGGCTGGCTGTGCCAGTGCAACGGGGCACAACATTCTCTCTTGAGGTCTGCTTCCCCAACAGACAAGGGTCATGCCCTACTCATCTTCCCACTCCAGGTGCCTGGCGCTTAGGAGAGCCTCAGTGAATGCTGTTAGTGAATTGATGACTTAGGCCTGGATTCAAATCCATGTTCTGTTACTAACCAGTGTGACCTTGGCCAACTTAATTGACTTCTCTGAAGTTTAGCTGCTTTAGCTCTAAAGTCATAATAACAGTTCCTAAATCACAGGGTTGCCATGGGGAATTAATGACTATTACAAATATAATTATTAGTGATTTCTTTCTTCCTGGTCATTTTGTCAGAGGAAAAGGGAGGAACTGGCAGTATGGGGCAGATGTTGCTTGAATGACCCCTGTCCCTTTTCTCTACTGAGTTACCAAGTGCCTAGCACCTTTCTCTGTGATGCAGGTATAAGTTTCTGGAAAGGATGCCTCTAGACACTGGGCATGCTTTGCTCCAAATAGGTTTCCATTTAGTCCCACTGGTTCTTCCCCTGGTCTCAATCTCCCACCCTCAGAACTTCCTCTCTCCATGAAAATTAAGTGCACCCAAATAGCAAACCGTCCTTACCCATAGCTCTTCAGGTGACCTACACACTCCCTAAGGCCTCAGACACAGAGGTGAACATTTTGTTCACTTTTTAAAATTGCCACATAATGCATGGATCATAAAATTTACCATCGTAACCATTTTTAAGCATTCAGTTCAGTAGTGTAAGTACATTCACGTTTTTGTGCAACCATCACCCCCATCCATCTCCAGGACTCTCTTCATCTTGCAAAACTGAAACTCTGCACCCCTGTAATACTATCTTCCCATTTCTCTTCCCCACCACCACCCCGCTGCCCCTAGCAACCACTGTGCTACTTTCTGTCTCTGAATTTGACTACTTCATATAAGTGGAATTATGCAATATCTATTCTTCTGTGTTTGGCTTATTTCACTTAGAATAATGTCATCTGGTTTCATCCATGTTGTAACAAGTGTCAGAATTTCTTTCTTTTAAAACTGAATAATATCCCATTGTGTGCATTTACCACATTTTGCGTATCTGTGCAGAAACACAGAGGCGAATTAAGCTCCATGTGGGCGTCTTCCCTTTCCACACGCAGACAGCCGATTACTCAGCACTCACGTGTCTGTGTGCCCTGTGAGCACGTGGAACATCTACAGGGTCCCAGGTGCTGGATATGCCTTGTAGATGCCGAGGGAAATAAACAGTGTCCCTGCTGTCCGGGTGCTCTCAGACCTAGTGGGGAGCCAGTATTTTATGGGGCTCCCTAGTGGGGAGCCCCAGGTAGGGCTGTGTGGAGGAAGGGTGGTTGATTCCTCTAGTGGGTGGGATAGGGTGTGTGTCAGGAAAAGCTTCACAGAGGAGGTGACATTTGAACTGCGTCCTGACACAGGTGTGTAGGTGTTTGGCGGGTCAATGGGCCTGGGAAGAGTATTCCAGGTGGGGAAGCAGCCCAGGTGTGGAGGAGCAGTGTGGGTGGAGGGGGAGACAGCAGGGTCCCCAGAGAGGCTGCAGGCAGTGCCAGTGATGGGGGTTGAGGGGACAAGGCACAGGGAGAGGTGACGCTCCAGGGACAGGTGGTGGCCAGATTAGCGTGGGGTCCTGTTCACCACGAAAAGGGGCTGCAGGCAGCGGTAAAGGAGCCAAGGAAAGCCTCACTGGGGAAGCTTCCAGGGAAAGAGGATTTTAAACCACGCTAGACAGTCTCCCGCATGGGGTGGCGTGCTATTTCAGCAGGGAGGGTGCTGGGCAAGATGGTTTTTGAGGTTATTATACCTCCTGAACTTAGTGATCCAACAATGGAGGATCTGCGGCTTGAGGAGAATTAGCTGGGTCCCTAATACAGGCCGAAGTGACAAGATCTTGGAGGCTTGTTGGGGCTGGCATTGCAGTTGGTGGTGAGGCTTTGGTTAACTGAGGGACACAACCCAGCTACACGCTTGAAAACGCACAAGCTCAAAAATGCCCACTGTGGGCCGCCAACGTGGCTAAGAAAAACCAGTTCTAGCTTTCAACTGGGGAGGAAACAGGAAACCCATCGAATCTGAAACTCGGAAGCAACCTGGGACTCTCTGAAACTTACCTAAGAGAAGGGAAGGAGACCAGTGACCAGCTGTGTGACATGATAAAAATTGCTTGACTTCCTCTGAACATGCTTCCTCGTCTGTAAAATAGGGTTGACAAGAGCCAAATTACTTATTTTTCATTAGGTATTCAGGAATGATCCAAATAAATAGGATAGTGTAGGTGACTACAAGTGTGAGGCACCGTCATCACTCTGAGCCTTGTCCGGTGCATACAAGGGTCTACACTGGAGATGACAGGTGGGGGTGGCTTGCAGGGTAGAGCAAGGGAGTGTGAAGGAAGGTGAAACAGTGGAGCTAGGACTCCAGGGGCACAGACACCCCAATCTATGGGTGTTGATAGCAGAAATTTATTCGGAGGCTGCTCTGGGATGTGCTGGCGATGGAGCCTGGACTGAGACCCTGTGAGAGTGACAGTGTTGCCCTCATGTGACTCTGCCTCCCACCTGAGGAGGATGCTGCCCAGGCCCGTCTCTGTGGACAGATATCTCCGAGGTCATGGAGAGTTAGTGCCATACTAGCTGGTCCCAGGCACAGAGTATCGAATCTGACTTCAGGAAGCAAAGCCCACATCTGAGTCCTGGCTCTGCCACTCGTGGTCTACGAAACCTTTCTGTGCCAGTTTCTCATCTGTGACTCTGAATTTATACCTACCTTATCCGTTGGGCATTAAATGCGAAAGTGCTTTTTAAACGGTAAAGAGCTGAAGAAATGCTCATTTCTTGTATCGCCCTTCCCCATTTGGGCAGCTGAAGGATGGTGCTGTCTTCACAAAACACTTGCAGCTGTCCTCGCCAATGCTGGGGCATGGGGGCCGCCCACCCACCCAAGACACTTTGCTGTTCGCCAGCGTCGGCCGCCCAGTCCGCCTGTAAAAGCTAAGAATACGTTATAAAACTGCTGTAAGGTTTTATGAGCCACTCTTTCCCAGGGACCGATCCCGGTGCCACGAGCCATGCCAGCTCTGGCACATGGGGCTCAGAGCGTGAGTCCAGGACCAGGAGAGCAGCTGGAATGGGGAGAGGCAGCTTGGAAGGGGTACTTGGAGCAGCAGAATTGTGCAGACCCAAGAGGGCGTCAGCTCTTGGTGACCTTGACTGCCTCTCCTGCCACCGTGGTGGGGACATGCAGTCTGGTCCCAGAAATGGGAATGACAAAGAAAACGCAAGGGGAAAAGTAAGGTGTAGTAGTGCAAGTGTGGAGTCAAACAGACCTTAGCACGGGTCTCATCACCTCCATTTTCTAGCTGTGTGACTAGGGCCGGTCATTTAACCTCTTGGAGCCTTAATTATAGCATCTGTAAAATGGGGATAATAATAGCACTAAGCATATAGGGTTGTTCATGTGAGATAATGGATGTAAAGTGCTTAGCAAGCTCTCTGGAACAAAGCGATCAATGTTATTATATTAAGATATAATAGTAATTAATATTTTTTGATGATTAGTTTACATTTTAAATATTATT